AATGGAATAAAACATTATTACACCAACTTCTTTAATGAAATTAAACTATTTCCAGAAATTTTTGAATATCTGACGTTCCAATATTGTCAAACCCGAGAAAGGCCATTAAATATAGCTGAAAATGTGTCGAAGGTTTTATATTATTTATTTACAGATGTTCTAACTTTCCGTGCATAGAATTATTCCCAAAATATTTTTATATTTACTTATATAGTAATATACTACTCGTATTACCGATATTTGTGATTTGTGTGTGCACGCATGCCAGTGATTATGAAAGTGGTCTATATCGAATATAGGAAAACATTGCAAAAATTTNTAGCTGAAAATGTGTCGAAGGTTTTATATTATTTATTTACAGATGTTCTAACTTTCCGTGCATAGAATTATTCCCAAAATATTTTTATATTTACTTATAAGTAATATACTACTCGTATTACCGATATTTGTGATTTGTGTGTGCGCGTGTGTGCACGCATGCCAGTGATTATGAAAGTGGTCTATATCGAATATAGGAAAACATTGCAAAAATTTTATGAATACTTTACGAAATAAATTCAATTATATATATTTACTCTTGCAAAATAGAAAAAAAAAAATTATTTTGCTAGAGTAAATATATATAATTGAATTTATTTCACAAACTATTCATAAAATTTTTACAATGGCTTTCTATTTTTGACATAAACCACTTTCATAATAATCAGCAGCATACACATACATAATCTTCTAGTATATATACAGTATGAAATTTGAATTACTGTATTTTCTGTATATTCTCCAAATTTTAATAGATGTGACAATTTTAAATAATAACAATGAACCAAACCTTAAATATTTAATTTGTAATGATTTTCATTGAAGCTCTTTCTGTTTGAAATTAATGTATATGTATGTATATATTCTGGATGCAATTTTTTATATAAAAATGGTGGAATATCTGCACCATAGTACTGTAACACCAACTTGTATCTGTAAATCCTTTACCGGTCTGTTAGGGGATCGTTACCTGAAGAAGAACCGTAATGGTTCGAAAACATTTGTAACTGTTGTAAAGTGTGATGATACACACACCAGTAAAAGGTTTATAATTTTTTATATATTTATACATGTACCTTTTAAGCCCAAATTAAATTAATAATCAAACAATAAAGCCAGAGTCATTATCAGGCTATAACTTGACTAATTAAATATACAGATGTTACATAATTTTTACTAAAGATAGGTAATTATGGTGCCATCTTGTATTAAATTTAATAATCAGAATTGGATGGAAGAAAAAATTGATTCAAAATGAGAATTTCTACTTATTGTGCAGATGCATTGCCAATTATGCTTCCAGACCAATTAAATTAGAAGGCTATATAGATAACACTCCATATCTACTAGGAATGACTACATGCCTACAGCCCTCCAGAATACTCAGCCAACTTTAAGCTTTTATTTACTCCAGCATAGTTTATATAATTATGTAATTTATTGACAAAAATAGCTATGTATCAAGAACATGAAGAAGTGTATCATAACAAAGAAGAAAATTTTCTGTGCAACAACAACACAATTTTAAGGAATGCTTAGTACCTTGTATGACTGCCTTTTTCCAGGATACATGTGGCATTAAGGTTCAGCAGGTAGATCTCCAGGCACCATATGCTATCCTGTGACAAGTTTTTCCATAGATGATGCAACTGCTGTTCCAAATCTCACACTCATAAATGATTGGAGTCCTGTACATGAAGTTGACTGATTAGTTGCCATGAAAACATGACATAAAATTGGTCTGGTGGGCCAGTGTTAACCTGTTTTTAAGGTCAGTTTACACAATATGATCACCGCCAACATTTTCCACTCCATAAAATAATCTACATGATTTGTCAGCTATTCAGATGTTTACATAACATACTGCAATACGACTTGTGAGTATGTGCAAGAAAAGTTGTTTCTCTTGAGTGTAGTAAGAACACAATAAATCATGCAATTCAAGTTTTGTCATTCATTTATTCAATGATGCAACAAGTGAAAAATCTGACAAATTAGATTTTCTGCAACACCATTGTAAGCTGTGAAACCAAGGTCTCCAATAAGCCTAGAGTTTGCTCAAATGAGGTAAATACATGCATATTGTGATTTTGAATGACAAACTGTCAGTGGTAGCCATATTGTATAAACCGGTCATTACACTTATTCAGTTTTAAGGAACACTGTTACTGATGTTTTTGGAAAAATGAGTCATCAGGAGTACCATCCCCTATGAAGAGCACTAGAGACATGATAGAAGGGACTAATTTAATGGATTGTAAAATAGCTATATCTATTATGTGAGTAATATTTTAACTTTTGGGTCTTTCTAAACAGAAAATGCATGAAACACACCTATACACCTTGTGTCAACATGTTGGAAAGGCAGTAGAGGAGCCCTAGAGGGTAAAAAATATGAATGAGGGAATGGTGGATTAGAATGGCTAAGCAAAGTAGTTTACACTTTTATTGAAGTTTTTATTTCAGCAAAATATAATTTGCATAGAATATAGCTATGATGCAGAGTTTACCAAATAAGTGGCTTTGTAATCGTGGGACTTTACTAAACTGTGCAAACTGTGCACATACACAATCTGCCATGGCTTGTCCCACAAATGTTCAACAAATAATATATATGGAAACTGAGAAGGCCAAGAAAGTATGGCAATATAGCTAGGATTTCCCAGGAATGTTGCTGTTGTATTACCAGCAAGATAATGTTTTGCTACAGTCAAATCTTATCATGCTGAATACACTCAAACAAACCTTTACATATGCAGCCGTAATTTAATAGATAATTTCAACATTATCATGCTGGTAATTGGATGTTTGCAGCCCTGCCATGAAAGATAACAAAAGGTGCAATATTCCTGAATATACTGCCACACTATTAATATCTCTTCCACCACTGTTAGGGATGACTTACTGTCATATGAGATAGTTCCCCAGACTAGCATGTGAACATTGGGGAAATAGCAATAATCAGTTCTGTTTGGGAATGGATGACTAAAGATTGATATGCTGTTGATCTGTAGCAGCCTGTATTTCTGTCATGGCATCACTCAAATGAAACTGATAATGATGGGATACTAACATCAAGATGCCAATGTCGTGCCAAGCATGCAAATTTACCTCTGAAAGTAGCCTGCTAATATGGGTTTTGTAATGAGGCTTCAACTGACCCTGGATGGTAGACAAAGACACCATTGTAGCTGTTCGGGCTTGTGTTATGATCAGGTGATCATTGCTCCTGGTGCTTTCTGGACTGTCCAAAGCTTACTTGCTATATATGTGTATCCTGACAAATCCATTGCCCCAATACCTTTTCGCAGTCGGATGATAACAACCCAGTTAACAAGCATTTTGGCAAAATGGTCATTCTGTGGCCTTAAACTTCAACAACTGTGAATAATGTCACTGATTGCATTGTATAGCAATGCCTGTTATTTGAAAACCTCCATATAACAAGTACTGAAAATTTGAATACAGTGACCCTCTGCAAATCTTTTTATAGGATACTGAGTTACTGATTTTAATGCACTGTGGTGGTATTACCTAGCAGATAATCAGACCGCAACTATAATAATTTGCATATCTGTCTGATACACAGAATTGTCCAATCATTACAAAATTTGGCATCTAGATATATAACTTATTTTTTTGGTCTCCGAGTGTATATGCTGTGCCAGAGTAACCTGTATGGTATACCTTATAAATTAATTGGTCAGAAATCAAAGTACAGTAAGCAGGAGTTGTAGGCTTTAGTTCTGCTCTGGATCAATCTTTTCTTTCAGAATATCCTAATTATTACATTTAATACAAAGTGACACCACAAAAGGTTATAGCTCAATAACGAATTTGGCTTTATCATTTAATTATTAATTAAAATATATGAAAAATTATATCAAAGGGGTTAATTAATTAATTAATATCAAAAAGATTGGTTAAAAATTAAAAAAAGTCAATGTAATGATTCAGTAATATGTATATACAGTAAATTTAAGAATGTGCCACAATTTTATATATTAAAATTTTTTGTAAATTTTAAAAATAATAAACCGTTCAGCATCAATTATTATTTAATATTTACTATGATAATATCAACATCTTTTGAAGTTTACTATTATTTAAAACTTCTAATCAATTTTTAAATTATATAATTTATGTACAGAATTTAATAATTGCTTCTAATTCTCTCACTAATATGTACTTGCAATAATATAATGATTATCAAATGGTGGTATGTTTTTTAAACCAGAAGATTATTGATACTATCACAGTTTGAAAGAAAAAGTCTAAGTTAAAACATATAAATATATTTTTATCAAAATGGTATGAATTTTAAAGTTATAAACACATGTATAAATTAGAAAACAGACCTTGTTTTGTTTTAATTTCAGGATCATTGTTTATCTGTTTTCTTACCTGTCCCCTACAATCTCCTGAGTATAGTTTTGTTACTATCTCCAAAGCAGCTAGAGATGAACACTGTCGATCCCTTCTGGCTGAAGTACAACACCAGTAACTACATTTTCCTTAATCTACTTATACACAAAAACTTACAGTATCAGCAGAAGAAATGTCTATCCAGTAAAATTTAAACGTGCTTTATTTCACCTCTAAATACAGGCAGTGTGGCAAGATATGCAAGCCACAGTATTTCTCACTAAATAGAAGCATGACAAATATTGATTCATCATTAACAATTATGTTCACACACCAATAGTCATAATCATATGCAATAAAAAGAAAAAAGATGCAAAAGTAAATATTGCCGAACAGAATCTATTAGTTATGAAGTTATAGTACATCATTCCTACATACAATTTTGTAACTTCTGTGAACAGACAACCTGTTCTAAATGCAGGATTTCTATTATGTGTGAATTATTACTAAATAAGGACAGGATGGACATTTCTTTTTTGCTGATCTACTTAAAATTAAATGTGAGTGCTATCACAAAGATAAATAGGATCATGCACCTCTATTTTGCGTCCCTCAACCACAGTGCCGTTCAACTGCTCTCGTGCTCGATCAGCATCTGCACTATTTGCGAAAGTTACAAAACCGAATCCCTGCATGCATGAGACAAACAAGAAACATGCATTAATATCCGTGCACCAGAACAGAATTTGGCCTGCAAAGAACAAGGAATTTTTTTTTTTTTTTTTTTTTAAATCACTCAGTGAAGACAAAAGCATCAGCTCAATCAGTTGGTACCAGTGTCATAAGCCCTCATGCAACACAGACCTGGCAGGGCACTCTCCAATTATTGACAAAATAGATCATTGGAAAATGTCTATAAATAATGACAGAAGGATGAAAAAGGTCATTAGTATTGATACAGCCAAATTTGAACTCAAACGTTCTTTCATTTGACGGCATCAATCAGGGATGTCAACACGATTTTAGAAGGAATTGGGGAAAGGCAGGTAAAAGAAGTTATTCTTTGGGGGTTTGGGGATAATTTTAATAGTTTACAATACTAATATTTCCCCAAAGCTCCATGCTACCATGCTTATTGATATTTAATATGGAAAAAGATTGGAGGAGGTATTTAAAAAGTTTAAATTTGGAATGGACTCAGTGCCCTTTTTGGTTTTTTTGATATATTCATTTTACATACAAAACTGAATTTTAGATCACCATCAAACAATTATTATAAATATTTTTTTTAATTACTTAAATAAATATTTATAATATAGAGTAAATTTGCTTGTATTGTCAAAAACATAAGTAGATTTAATATATATTAAAAAAAAAAATTCTTCTCACTGTTGCAAAAAATTTAAACTACTGTATGTGAAATATTCTCATATCTAAACTACCATTGATTTCTTTCTTTTTTAAATGATATATAAGCACATTAAATTTTAATAATAGCAATTAGTATTATTTAAGTGTAAAACCTACTAGTAATTAAAAAACTTTTTTGTGGTAACCAACAGTCTTGTGGAGCCTTTATTTCACTTGCATACAATTTTATTGTACGTACAGTATGTATTGCATACACTGTAATCTTGCCTACAGTTGGAGTTGGTACATATGAGATGACGTGATGCTTGTCACTCTTCGGTGTCATGACCCAGAATGGAAAATGGTTATGTCTCTTCTAGTCTTCCCTCTTTTTGTCTCTTCACTCTCAACCCTTGGTGGCAGTTGTAGATTTTACTTTTCAGACAGTTTGCCACCATATTCCCCCAGTGATTTAGTGGGGTGACTGTTCCACCAAAGAGTGATGCTTGTGTTGAGTGTTGTCAACATGTGTACTGACTAGACAAAAATTATACATTTATTACTGTGCAGAGTCTTTTGGGAAAGTAAACTTTACGGCCAGACCTGTGTTCTCACTGGGGTGTTGTTCTGCCTGTTTATAGGGTATACAACCACAAACACCGAGGTAGCAAACAAAGTGACAGACAATGGCACTCAACCTAAGAGAAGGGCTAGATAGTCAACCAAAAATCCTGTGTAAGCCAATTTCAGTCGCTTGATTGACACTGTTGATTTGCATCCATTCAAGAGAAGTGTAAATGTTTTGTCATTGTAGTCCATCACTTGGTGTAGTCCATTGTATGGTGGGCTCAGTGATGGTTGAATGCTATCCACTTGCAGGAAAACATGTGAGCATGTTTTTAATTCTGGGTGTACGTATATATGTGAGATTTCTGATGTTTGGAAGTGGGGTTTGGTTACAAGGATGACACGATATTCTGCAATTTGGAAACATAAACTGATAGATCTTAGTTCACCCATCGATGCAACAGATACTAAGATATTACCAGGTAGATGAAGTGTAGTGACATACACTAACTCGGCACTGGTCACCTTAATGTCTGGTTTAAAACCAGAGTGATTCCTAGAAGTATTGTCAGTGAGCCTGCTGATGTGTCACAGTATAGTTTTTCTTCAGTTGTGAATGCTTGCATTAATTCTAGCTGTAATGATATTGATTTCTTCAATAACTTTTGAATTTTCTTATTGTCATTTTGTGTTGTTGCAAACTCATGGATGTTAAGGGTTGATGTTGGTACCTGGCTGATCTTTATGCACGATAAGGTATCCACTACTGAATTGCTTGTTCCTTGTACATGCCGAATGTCTGTTGAGAATTGTGATGTATAGTCTTGATGGCGATGTTGTTTAAAGGTGTAGGATAATGGCTTTTGAGCCATGAAAATGATAAACTGTCAGCCTTCCAGCTTGTGTCGAAGTCTTTGCACCGAAGCATAGATGGCCAACAGCTCTCTTTCATATGTGGACCATTTCTATTGTGGTGCTGTTAGTTTCATGGAAATGAATGCTATCGGTTTCCACATGTTGTTCCATTGCATGAGTGTTCCACCTATTGCAAAATCTGAAGTGGCAACCAAAAGAATAAGGGGTGCAGCTGGAGTGGAGTGATTTAGTAGAGTGTCTTTTGCCAGAGTGAATGCTTGTTGTGCTGTCTCTGACAATTGTGTTGTTTTCTCTTTTGTCTTAAAATTGCTATGGTGGTACTTCTTCCTGTCATGTTCTTCCAATAATTGGACTAATGGGGCCAGGATGTGAGCAGCTCTGGGTATGAAGCACCTGTAAAAATTAAATAATCCTAAAAATCTTTGTAGCTGTGTGAGTGTGGTTGGTTGTGGAAATTTCAGTATTGCTTGCACACAATCTGTCAAGGCAGCTATTTCCTCTCCTGATACCTGAAACCCAAGAAATTGAATGGAAGCAGCACCAAACACAGTTTGACAGCTTGATGTTGAGGCCATATTTTTGTAACCTTGAAAAGGGCCACTAAATGTTCCTTATGTTCTTCCTTTGAGTTAGATGCCACTGGTATATCATCTACGAAGGCATAGATATCTCTTAAGCCTGTTATTACTTCATCAATAAAATGCTGGAATGTTGCTGCCATATTGCATCATTGCCAAATGATGTTGTAATGGCTATCTTGTGCACATCTGGTGGGTGTATTGGAATCTGATGATATGCCTTCACTAAGTCTATATGGGAGAAAATCTTCATGCCATGCAACTCTGCTATGAAGTCCATTAAATTAGGTACACTGTATCTTTTTTGTCTGGGCATTCAGAGAGCTTTATAGTCTCCTACCAGTCACCATTTCCCATCTTCCTTCTTTCTCATCATGTGGAGTGGAGATGCATATAGTAGTTGCTATTAGAAGGATGGATGAGTCCCAGATCTAGCATGTGCTGTATTTCCTGCTTGGCAATTTTCAAGTGATCAGGGACCAGTTGGCAAGGTTATGCACTTGCTGGTGGGCCAAAGGTATCTATGCAATGGGCCACGAAGTGTTTCACTGGTTATTTGGGTTGTGGAGGTCTGATGATGCTGGGAAACTTGCATAATAAGTTGTGAAAAAAACCGTTTTGCCCTGGATGACTTTGATTGAGTGGATGGAAGCGACTCCTATCTCATAAAGTATATTTAGTTTTGTTGATTTATCGTGTAAACACTTGTGTTGCAGATGGGCATAAGGTCAAAATGAAACAAAAAGTCTGCTCCTATTATTGACATTGTAACTGTGGCCTCTAGGAATGTCCAGGTGAATTTCCTTCCAAAATTGAAATCGAGTTTTATTGTTCATTGCCTGTATACCTGAATGGATGATGCATTGGCCACCAACAGAATCATATTGGGCCATGCTCATTTTGATATAGATGAAGTAGGGATGATGGAAACATCTGATCTGGTATCTATAAGGAACTGTACCTTTGACCGTTTGTCCCAAATGAATAGGCGATGAGATTTAAGTAGCAGGGAGCATGTCGCCACTACTTGTTTTTTTGTAAAACTATAAAGAGGACTGCATTTTTTTGCTTTAGTGCTGAATTTTATATGGTATCAACAGACGTCTGTCTTTTTTTGCAATTTGCTATGCATATGGTGATGTTGATGATTCCATGATGTGCTGCAGGAACAAGTTAATGACCCTATCTATCTGTTCAATTTCCATGCATAATTGTAATTCTGTTTTGGATGGGCACAAAGGCTGTATGACTGAGTTTATTTGTGCTGGGTTGACATCCATTATTCTATCTGCTATTTGAGATGCCTTCTCTAATGTGAGTGGGGTTACTGCTACCAAAATAGATTGTGTGGGCAAAGGCAATTGCAGGAACAATTCAAATAGTAGTTTGTTGGAGATGATGTAAGAATTGGTCTTACATTTTAACTCCTGTAATACTTCCAACAGGCATCTATCTCCCATAGGTTTGCATGCTAGTAATTTCCAAATTTGTACAGACAATGATTCCGTTGACTGTTTGATTAATTCCATTTTAAATTTTTCATATGGGTCTTCTTTTTGGGAATTATTATAACATCATGCACTATCAAAAGTGGTCTCCAGTGGTAAAAAGGCAACTATAATTATACTTAGTAGTGCTTTCTGTGATTGCCTTTGGTGTATCCAAGAAAAAGGTACTTTCACACATGGAAAACAACAAGGCAAGACTTTGGAGATCTTGTATGGAGGAATTTGAATTGCGCTGATATTGCCCAATGTCTCTTAGCCTGGTTTGCACCATCCCTGTAGCAAGTTCATAAATTAGTTGAAGAAAAATATATATATGGTGTCGGAATAGTTTGATGTACGATACTCATTTGAATACAGTGTTGATGATCTAATTTCTTTCTTCTAAGCAATGTAGATGGATTGAGACTTCATATGTTTTGGGACAGATTTACATCGCCATTCCAATGGACGACATCATGTCCATGTCACCATTGTGGAGCCTTTATTTCACTTATATACAATTCTATTGTACATACGTTATGTATTGTGTACACTTTAATCCCATCTATAGTTGGAGTTGTACAGTACATATCACTGTTTGGTGTCACGATCCAGAATGGTAAAATGGTGGTGGTTCTAAATTTTACCTTTCAGACAGGTTTGCCATAGTCTAATCTATCAATAACTGATAAAATCTAGTAGTCAGAAATTTTTGGTACAATTAGATGTGTTGATAATTTTATCTTTATTAATGAAATTCAGTTTGTATAGAAACCAAAACTATAAAAACATTTAATTGTAAGAAATTTTTATCTCGATATTTTTTACATTATGAAACAATTTCTAATAAATACTATAAGAATTACTTTCTAGAGATAATTTATCAAAATTATTAAAGCTCTTGCTGGCATTTACACAAAAATATCTACATTTTTAATAAAATATTTCCTAACATTTTACAGGATTTCCAGCTAACAGTAGGTTTTAATTTTTTTACAAACAGATAATGAATTCCTTGAGAAGCTGATACACTGAATGTGCATATAATTAGTATAATTGATGTTAATTAAAATTTCATGTTAAAAAATTTAGCTCATTCCTCTAAACTATTTTTATCTGTAACACATCACAAACTTTAACATTTTGCTATTGAAATATATCTCTTCTATGTGCCATGAAATGTTATTTAAAGTATATTTATACTTTAAATAACACTTGTACATTCTTGTTTCTATTAATTATTAACTTGACTTTAGAATTAAAAAAGTTTACATCAGTTACAAAATTATTTTTGTTATATTGACATAAAAAAGTTTTTAATGATACATATCTACTAAATCAGTATCATTTGTCCTAGAAGAGCGTTTTGAATCCAATGGGGACAGACAATTATAGAGCAAGTTAATCAAAAGTATATATTACTCCCAAGAGTACTTCCAGAAATGATGAAGGGCCAACTAATGAATTGTTACCTTTCATATTTAGTTTTATTTTTTTGTGTCTATAATTTATCTTTTCCATAAAAACTTTCTCCTAACATAAAGAATAAAATACATTAATTTTTTTATACACTGATTAATTGCCATTTGCTTCAAAACATTCTGTGAGTATTTTTGAATGTATAAATCTTAATGTTTTAAAGATGAAAGTTCTTTTTAAAAAATATTTAAATTTAAATTAACAATATTCTATGGCTTTTGTTTATATTAATCATAATTATATATTTATGTCAAAAGATATTAAGGCTAAAATATTCTATCATTATATGTTCATAGAAATCATGCAGAATAAGTATTTGACATCTCAACTATAATGCATCTCCTATTGTTATTTAAATCATTAATAAAAGTTCCAATTCTTTTCTCTTCTTTTCAGTGCAGAATCATCCTTTATTACAATGCATTTGAAAAAACTTTATAGTTAATTTTTATATATTAATACATTCAATATTTTTGTTGAATTGTTATTCCTTAAATATTAAAATCTTTTTTTGAGGCATAATTTACTTAAAAAATAAGTATTTTAATACCTTTTAATATAAAATAAATCTGCTTGATTTATATTATGGAAATATCATTGGTAGTTTAGAAATGAGTTCTGTACAGTTTTTCAAATTTAATTTGAAGAGAAAATAGTTTATTGATTTTAAAATTACACAATTGAAAATCTTACATCATCTTTAGATTTTAAAAGACAGTTTAATATAAAAAGAAATCATTATTGGAATGATTTTAAAATTGACAATTAATAAAATGTTGAAAGAAGTCATTGTTAAAAGTTTAAAAATCACCACCACTTTGTAAAAATAACACCTGTATTTGATGCAATCTGGGGAAATATTGGCAGCTTAATGATGATTAGCTTTAATCTCTCATAGGACGAATATATTGATGATGATCCTCTTTTCGTGCACAACTTATTGCGACAAGAGAAATGTTTTCCCATAACTTCTCCACATGTGTTTTTTGTCGTAGTTTGTTGCATTTTCTACTTTTCTCATTAAAGTCTCATCTTTTCAACTATTTTTTCCTTCCCTTATTTATTCCTTCAAAGAAAATTATGGATATTTGTTAAGATTTGTATATATATATACACTAGCTGTTCTCCATTACAATGGTAATGCTTTTTTTCCTGTTGATTGTTTACCAAAAAGTTAATTTAATAATAATAACAATTGTACAGTACATTAAAAGAAATTCAAAATGTCATTGTGATTACAAATAAATAAAATTCTAATTATTTTCTCAAAATAAGAAAAATTTCATTTGCACAAGTCAGCATTACTCATAATGTCTACCACAAAATATTTTAGCTAGATAATCATTAATGACTAACTTTTCATATTATGTAAAATATTTCCATAAAGAACAATCAATTTTTTTCTAATGACTCTCCTAAATATGATGCCTTTTTCCCCACTCGACGATAATATTTGAATTTTTTACCATATAATTTTATTCTACTAACTTATTTACATAAATATCAATTGTGAAATCATTCCAATAAACAAAATTATTAAATCAGATATTATATTTATGAAATATTGTCAGTTAAAGTTTATCAAGTAGACAGATGGGTGGCAATAGAAACTAAAAAAATGCACATGAATTTTTGAAGTAAAAGTTAATAATCATTTTATTAATGCTGCTATAAAAAAATTATTTGCAACAGTGATATTTTTATTACTGCTATTATAAAAAATTATAATCATCATCATAAAATAATCAATAAAATTGTTAAATTTATAATAAATATATAATTCAAAATGATAAATTAGAGCAGAACGCTGATATTTAATTACATTTATTTTGCTTTTTAATTAATGTATTTTTTTTTTCTTTACTCTATTATTTTAAAAACATATTCAATTACTTTATTGCGCTCAAATTTCATTTTTATGTACCGGGAAAGACAATTACCTATATTATGATTCAATGTAAAATTATCATTTTAATCATAAAACTGCATTTGTTCACTGTGTAAATATGAATTCGACAAACTACTTTTTCAGTGGATCCAATACATAAAAGATTGACCGAGAAGGAAATTTAAACAAAGCAACTAATGTCATTTTTTAGAATAATACTGTTAATATTGAAGCAGAAAGCTATCTCACTGGAACATTAGAGAATGGAATTATTTTATTGGAAAATATTTTAATTAAATATGTAAAATAACAAAAACTGAAAGACATTGTCATTTTCAGTATAAATAAATAAGAAAGTATTGTAATTTACATTACATATTACATTATTTAAAAATGTATGGACTATAAATTATTTCTTTTTAGTTGTAGTTTCTGATGCTAGGAGTAAAAGTAATCCCAAAAGTATTGATAAGGAACAAATAAGACGAAGTACATGTTTTTATTTATGATAATTAAGAATATCTGTTTTTATATACTAGTCTGATCAAACACATTCCTTAGTACAAACAGATACAAACCTGTTTATCTTCCTGAAGAATGAATAATAAATGCATTAAAAAAAACAAGTGAAAACTCTTATTATCCTATAAAAAAAACAAACTTCCAAATCATACAGTATCTGTATGCAACTTAAAGAACTAGAGGATCCATCTCATCAAGCAGATTGCAGTTATTTCAGTGTAATCATCATTAAAATAAATTTACCATTACAAAAAATACTATCACATTACTTTTTCTTCATAAAATTGTTATTTGGAAAAGAAATCTTGGTAGAAGATTGTGGATGTTCCAGTCTAATGTCATTCAGTAATAGAGTTATTCTTTTTTCTCCTTGAAAATGAATAATCAAATGATTTTTTACAATCTTTAGCTATATGGGATATTACCAAATCAGTTTTCCTTTTTATTCATTAGGTATTTTATATTATATTTTTGATGTACTGTTTAGTTAACTATACATTTCTTATGACTGAGTAGTCATGACTTTTGACAAATTAAAATATTTGTTCAAAATCCATTATTTAAATGAGTTGAAAAAATTTTAAAATAATTGTTAAATAGTTTCATACTTTTTTTTAAACTTTTCATACGTAATTTTGAAAAAAAAAATTATAAAAACGGTTCTTAGATCAAGTTTAGTAAGAACTGGACCTAGATTTTATTGAGCTTAAAAATATGGTTTTATTTCCATCATATGGAAAAGAAAAAGTTTTATTTCATTTTGTCTGTCTGTTTTTTTTTTTATTATTTGAAGCACCCGCTTGATTTTATTGCCAATTCTCTGTATATTCTTTAACAGTGATCTAATCAACGTTCCAGCAGAATATTAAAATTTTTGTTTTGGTTTAATTCATTTTAATGTTTTATGAGAAACAATGAATATTCTATTTTCATTGATATGAGATTTCAGTTTATCTTTCTGCTATCAAGATGGAATAAATTTATACATATTATCTGTATTCAAAGTTTATAATCTAGATCATTTCAAGGACCATCTCAATATGCAATATATAACAAAGATTATTATAGAGCTATTACCAGACATGAATAGAATAAAAATGATTCCTTTTGTCTTTTCAATCTTAATTATTTTATAAGTGTATCCAAAATAAAAAATTTTCCAATTATATATGTAAGCTTGAAAATTCATTGAAATCTATAAATTATTTCATGTAGCTTATAATGTTTATATCAGAGTTCTACTTTATTTAAAAACAATTATACAATGATAGTAACAATGTATATAAAAATATAATATTAAAAAAGTAAAATTAATTAAAGCATATTATTCAATAGTAAAAAAATATATATTTATTAATTTTACAATTATATTTTTTNTTTTCACTTAAAAAAAATAGCAAATTATTATTTTTAAAAATTGTTTATCAAAAATGAAATAAATAATTTTATACTAAATTACAAATACATACCTTCGAACCCCTTTCATTAAAGATAATTTCCACGTCTAATATTGGACCAAATTGCTGAAACATGATACAAAATAATCAGTACTTGACTAATTGTTTAAAATTTAATGGAACAATTATTGAATAATGAGTTAAAGTTACTAAAATAATTAATATCAAGTCAATTATTTAATTAATATTTTCAATGACAACTACAAACATAACCTGTATTGATCCAAACTATAAGTATTTTCATTTTGTAAAAATTTAGCACCTATGAATTAAAATGATTTTTATAAGTTTTACCTTAAATCATCAATTTATCAGATTGGTTTTATTTCAAAACATTTAATAAGATTAACTCAGTTTTAGCATTTCTGTATATAACATGTTAAATGGTTTGCTAATTTTCTTCATTTAAAATGCAACATTTTTTTACTGCATAGTTGTGTTGGAATCAAGGATCGAAATTATTGTGTAATGTTATACGACATCATTACATACAATGCATTGTGTCGCAATGTTTTGTAAATGTTCTTCCGTTACGTAATGAAAGGTTGGTGACGCTGTTGATCTCTCGGGGAGCCGTTAGAGACGGTGACCTCATTTCACTCTCCTCTTTTCAGCGCAATCTTTATATAACAAAGAAAGAAAGTTACACATTCTTTGTTATGCGAGTCTAACTTGTTTTTACTAATCTCTCTGACAAGCAACATCTAGTCTAACAAGTTGATCACAATTCAACTAATAACATCTGTGAATTTATAACAGTTAATGACATTTTTTTATATAACATTCTGAATAAAAACAATATCGTCATGTTATACATAGATTTTAGTGTCATCATCATCATCTAGAGATCTACACTCAAATTATAGAATGGCATATTGTCAGATTTTTACCGAGTTACTTTGGACAACACTTATTCTTGGGAATGCAACTTCCAATTTGCAGAAGTTTAAGTCTCGCCCCAAGTTGATTGTTTCCTCTAAATACTTCCACAATTAATGGTGTTAATAATTAACAAGATGAGGACGTTGTATACAGTGAAAAAGAAAACATTGCTTCTCTAAAAATGTCATTAATAAAATTTTGACTTTGGAATTTTTCTATAACAATTAATAATTTTTAAAATATGTAAATCAGTGATGTAGCCAGGAATTAAGTTTGATGAGGGCTAAAAAAATAAACTTAATAAAATACAAATTATTAATAGCCATCTGTGTTCTTAACACCAACATCAAAGAACAAAAATTTGTATCTATGAAGAAACTTTAAATATAACAGTATCAATTTTAATTTAGAATTGCCACGGGTTAGCCAAGGGGAATTAAGGAGCTAGAGACCCTTTATATTACTGGCTTGGCCAAGGGAAGCTTTTCAAAAGTGAAAAATTATTATTCTAAATATGTTATATGTATTTTCTTTTTGTTTATAATTTTTTTTAATTAATTATATTACAGGGCAAAAGTTCACTTATTTTAAAAGAGAAAGAATAATGACAACAAAAATAAAACAGTATGCTTAAGAATATACTTTCAAATCTTCAAATGATAAAACAGGTAACCAGTTATCATTTATTTGACTCTGTATTGTTTATTTCTATTTTTTATTTTAAAATTTACTTTTTTATAAATATTGACTTTCATAAATAATAATTACATTATAATAATTATGGTTTTTGCATATTTTGAGATAATAACTTAAAAGAATTCAGAATGTGGTTGAATTTTGTAAATATTTGCAACGTTTTCATTAGATTAGAAATTTTTTACTTCATTAGTGCCAAATCATTTTGTGTAAAATTAAAATGGTAATGGACAGTATGTCAATAAGATGATGATCTTGTTGACAAACTGTACTTTTATTGGTATATGCTATAGTGAAGTTATGTTTAAAATAGCAGGGGAAAAAATTATTTAGGCAAATAAGAATTTTAAAATTCATATTTGTCTTAAACAATATTACTTTAATCAGTCTTCCATTTTCTAGAATGAATAAACTAACTCTCTCTTTATGTTTTTTAGCCAGATGCTAATTTAATTTTGTTTGTGGGAACAAACTTTAGTTAATAAGGTGGAACATGTATTATGCATTATCGTCAAGAACTTCTTTATTAGGCTGGAATTGTTTCCTTTTTAAGTTAATAAATAAGATAGAATATATTAAATGAAACTACAGTATAGGATAATTGAATTATAATGTACTTTCAGACAAACAGTGTTCATTTTAATATTGATAATTCAAATTTAGTGTTCACCCAAACTGACATGCCAAAACAATCCTTAATTTGAATTTTATCTATCATTTATATTAGGGAAAAATTGCAACTTTTGTGAGATTTTATCATGAAAATTCTTTAAGAATTTAAAAAATTTGCCTCTTATTGTACTTTATGGACATGCTGTATTTTGATCCTTTTTTGGTGAGGCATGTTTACAAGAATTATTGTATGAAGCCATTAGAGCCAAGTTCACACACAAATTTTGGAAAACAGGTCCTACAAGAGTGGAATTTGTTGATAAGAAGATGAATATTCAGAGAACAGGAAGTATAGTGGATGAATAATTTTCTGATAGGCCATTGTCATCTGCCGATACTATTGCATGTGTTCGGCAAGCAATTGAATGTAGCCTGAAAGCATCTACTTTATCTTCTCAGTAATACTATTCAACAAATTTACAAAAGAAATTTAATTTTTTCAGAATCATTTTGAAAAATTTTGGTACCCTATTTTTTGTTCTATATTTCAAACCTGAACATGGCTTATAAATTAAATATTTATCATCCATCATCAATAAATTAAATATTGCCAAAAATGTTTATGATTTGCTGGATTAAAGATTGCTGATTATATAAAGTTAAACTTCCCTTGTAAGTAGAGAGTTATAAATAAAGAAAAATGTTTTTCACTGGGTAGCCATTCAATATAATAATTAAATAAACCTTGAAACCTCAGACCTTACTCTCCTTTGTTCATTAGTTGCACCACTCTACAACCAATACAAGCTGCACAATAAATTCCAAAATGTTGGCAGCAATTCTTACTACATGCTTGAAGAGCAGAGAAATGTAATTTGGTTTTTCTGTAACCCAACCACACTGCACAAAACTTGTTTTGACATATGGTAAAACTGCTTTTGACAACAGAAATATGTATCAGTGTTGTGGCAAGACCCAAAGTCATAAATGAAGCATGTAAGCCATAATGTTGTAAATGCCAAAAAACAAACTTCAGGAGAGATAAAAAAAAAACTTTTTCTAGTGAATGAACTCATTTTAATTTTACAATAAAATGGTAAAAAACAACTCACTAGATTACAGTTTATATTTACATCACTATGATATTCCAGAAAATTTGTAATGTTTCAAGTGCCAAATGTTATGGCTTCACATGACTGCATTTTGAAGTTAAATTTACTTACAGTGCCACAGTATTTTTTGCAGCAAAAAACCTTGCGTTTAGAATTCATTCTTCAATATAATGGCATTTACAACATTATGGCATTGCATGCATCGAATGCATGCAATGCCATCGAATGCATCGAATGTGCCAAAGCAAGGACTCCCAATCTCCATTCAGACTGAATAAGCTTATTCACAATGGAGATGTTGCTTGCAAAGTGCCATTTGCAGCATAGGCATAGATCTGGGTTGTGTTTTGGCATTGTGCATACCATCATCAATAAAGACTTGCACAAAATATCTTGACAAGATGGGTTCCCAGGATGTTGGATGAAGGGTACAAAAGCATTGGCTGGTACTGTCTCTTCAATATCTGAAATGATATCACCTGGCAGGTGTTGAAGAGACAGTACCATCCAAGAGAGACGTATAGTCCCAAATGCATTTTTAGTGTTTCAATGTGTTATATATTGTTGTAGAGAACAGTACCTGGTTACAAAATCTTTAATGATAATTTTTTACAATCTAACTTGTTCACCAGTGTGATAAGCCTTCATGTATTATATTTATATTCATATATAATTAATACAGACTTTAAAGAAAACATCATTAAGGGCTAAAAAGCAATAGATTATTCAATTGTATTTATTTATTTAACTGCCCCTGTAATAAAATTTTCCACCTAGGGATTGCAATATTGAATCAAAAAATGAATCTCAGTATTATGGTATTGTAATTTTTCAAAACCAAGATACTGGTACTAAATTAATGAATAAATTTTAGTGGCATTTATTAATTTTTTCTTACTTTATTTAATAAAAACTTGCAGGGATTGACAAAATAATTCAAACATCAATGAAAGATTACTATTTGTGTATTAATAAGGGGTAGGACCCCTTTTGCAGATAATACAGCTGTAGTACAGTATATTGAGGAGTAGATAAATATAAATCATGAATAACATTCATGTCAATTTTGTACCATTCTTCAACCAATACTGATGCTAATTCCTTGACAGAAGAAGGTGATAGAAATCTACTTCTACCCTTTTTCTCAAGATTATCTCATGCAGGCTTAATAATAATCAAATCTGATGACTGGGGTGGCCAGGGATGCTTAACTTTTATCTTGGTTCAAGGAGCAAGAAACTGAATACTCCCAACAATATGGATAAGAGCATTGTCGTCCTGAAAAATTGCATCACCATCTGGAAACAAAGTTTCCATGGGATGGAGTTGATTACTCAGAACATGCAGATATCTCTGGCTGTTACTCTACCTTTGAAGATAACTATTGGATCCAACAAGTTGAATGATATTGCAATCAAATGGTACAGAAACCTCTGCCATGCTTGACAGTGAGTTTAAGGCAGTCAAGATTGTAGTTTCAACCAATGATCTCCAGGCTTAAACATGACCAGAAGTGGAAAAAACAACAAAAGTTGATTCATATCACAAGTTTCCGTGTCTCCAGGTATCCAAATTTTGTACTCTTTACACCACTGCATACCTGTTTGATGTTTTGTGATGTCAACAAAGATTTGGCTATTGCAGCCCTGCCATTGATATTATCTCCATTGCCATCAACATCAGTTGGTTTTCACTGATACTGATACCGTTGCATTTGCAGCAATTCTGCAATAATTTATGCTGCTGTAGTTTTGTTTTCTCATTGCAATTCAGCAAAGTACTCTTCTGTTCCTTGTATCCAGTGTTGACTTTTGATCACAGCTACTTCTATCAACGGATGTTTTGTCTGTCTTTGCATACTAACAAGTAAGATATGATCAACATAACACTAGATCTTATTACGTCCAACTCGGCACTCAGGTCACAGAAGCCCCTACAATCATTTCCCTTTGGAGGTCTATTAGGTCTGACATAGTCATGACCCAAATCACTTTTTCAACAGCTAAAGCAATGAAGTTTATTGACAGTGATATAAGCTATGCAAATGAGGAAAAGGGTAGTATCTGTGATGGGACATAGGACATATTTCAGGAAGAGTTCAATTTGACTGTGTAAAATGGAGGATGCTCAAATTATTTTGTTCATCCCTTATATATATCCATACTCAATTAAAAACAATAATAGTATTTATATTTTTCACTAAAAATGTAAATAATAAGATCATCCATAATTTTAAAAATTGCAATTTAGCAACATAAAATTCTTGATGAAATGTGACCAGAATTAAGTGCATACATATTTTTGTGCAAATTGACTTTACTGCCAAAAAAAGTCCTTTTGGTTTGGTCACATTTGTGGGTGAATAGTTAAAAATAATTATACATAAGTTTTAAATTCAAACACCTTATCTCATTTTTGAATAAGAAATATCTTTCTTAATAATTTGTTCTTATTAAAGATGGGCTAATAACACTTTTCTCAAATTTGAACATTAACCAGATCTTGAATAATTAGTGGACTTAAATAAATATTAATTATATTTTAAGACATATAAGTTAATCTTAAATTATTGCATAATTTAATAAAATATTTAGTAATTTACTAAATTCTACAAAATGACATTTAACTTCAAACTTTTTATTTTGGCCATATATTAATCAATAATTATCCTCATTCTCATCTACTGCAAGATTTTTATTTAAACAAGCAGACTAGATCCCGAATGTTTGAATGCATCCAGGATATAGTCTGCTTATCACAAATTAAACCAGACATGCTGAAGAGTCACATTCCTTCAAGCAAGGATGCAGCCAAAATCAAGTGAAAATAATGGCAGCACTAAACCACTAATGCATTTTTTACTCTGAATTTTGATTGAATTTAACCATAAAACTAGGAAACTTGGTAAAAATCAAATACAATGAAGTAAGCTACAATGCATTAACAATAATCAAGACAAGACTGAAAAACTGCAGCTGTTGTGTTTTTTCTACTTTACAAAGTGCCTTCAAAGCATGATATTTATGGCACAATATTGAAGATATTTGTGGTATGAATTTCTTTATTGAATTTTTTTAATGGAATCTCTAAAACTTTCTAGTATTAAGAATTCAGGTACTTGCAAATAGTATACACCCTTCTCTACTTCTAATTTGTGAAGATGTTTAACATTAGGGATTTTACAATCAGCTATAAAAAAAAAAACTTGGTTAATCTCTCTTGGATATATCATTGATACTGCTGCCTGGTTGATTTGAATGTATTAATTGTGTTGTGATAATTTTCTCATACAGAAGATTTCAAAGAAAGCAAATCTTTTTATTGAACAAGTTATTATTTTTTATAATAGCACCTTTAACTATGTGGTCAAAATAAAATTAATCCTAATTCACTTTCATCTTGTGAAGAACTTGTGAGTGATTCAGTTGTCTCTATAAAATACAGAATTTCAAAACAGGATTGATCAAAATTCAGAATAAGCAATTGGTTACAGAGAGAGGCCATAAATTTTAATATTGCATATGCAGTTGAAAGATTACATTGTGACAGTGCTTCTACATCAAATTTTACCGGCTTAAAAGTGGAGAAAGTTGTAGATGATGGATTAAATTAAATTTATTAAGCTTTTTGGATACAGTTTCTTAACTGATAAAATCTTTCCAACATAATGGTGCAACAGTTTACTTATTATGTAAGCTTGTTTCACAAAACTTAAATGCAAGTTTGAAAATTTTGACTACATAAATTGAAAAATATTTATAACAATATAAAAAATTAGTGGAGAAAGTTCAGTATGGATGAGATTATCAGTAATATCTTATTAATTTGTTTCAGTAGTTAGTCATCACTGTCGTCATCATCATATGTGCATTCAATATTAAGTATTTTCTTTCTTTCAAATTTTTGTTTGCATTTGTAAAGGATGTTCATAACTGCTAAATGAATTCCAAGTACAAAACAAAGCAGCTGTCCTGCTTCAATGAATCATCCAATTTTAGTCATAATTCCATCAGTTGCAACACAGATAATATCTAGAAAAGTGGAGATCATAACTTTTTTATCAATTAGCTTCTATACACTTTTCTGTTGATGTACTTCCATGTACACAAATTAATCCAGTATTATAGAAGTTATGATTGCTGGAATGGACATTTATATTTAAGTAGTGCCAATTTCCATTAGAAGTCCATTCATCAAATATTAAACTAAACCTTTTACTTTTAGCTTTCAATTTAGATATACTGTATGAATAATTAAACTATTATTTTTCTTGTGTTTGCAGATTTGGGAATATGTCTAGCAATTAAACCTTTACTGATATCAACAGACATACTATCTCAAGCAGTCATTCAAGCTAGAATTTCTGATAAAAATTCCTTCCTATCACTTTTTAAATAGTTTGTTATTAAGGATTGATTGTGAAATTGCTTGTTTAGATTGACTTGACCTTGGTTCATTTATATTAGCAGCATTAATATGAATTTAAGAAAAATTATTTATCTTCTTTGAATGAATATTTCAAAGAATGTTGTCTGGAATATTTCTTACATTTCCTTAACAAATGATAAAAATTCTGTACTGTTTTTATTATTTCCTTTCCTGTGCTCTTTAAATACAAGTACTGATCCATGATTACTATTGTTTGTAAATGTAAATAACACCGAATTATCAATTAAGCAAGCAACTTCTTTATTCAGTGTTATTTTCCTGTTTGCTCTCATTTAGTGCATTTAAAGCAACTATTTATTACAGTGATTCCCATACTTCTTTAAGTCACTGCCCTTTTTGGTTCCATAAACTTATATCAAATGTAACTTCACTACTAACCTTAACCTGTTTTCACTTGTATAAGAAATGTTTGGAAATATTCTTAGAAACTTTTCTATGAACCTCACACTTGGTGTTCTCCACTACGGTGTTCTCCACCGTACATTACTCTCCATATCTGAAAACTATTAAACAATGTTTCTTCTTACCCGTTTTAATGGAAGAAAGGGAAAGGTGGTCAGTGACCCCAACCCTCATCTATGGTCACCATTCAGTCAGGACCCTGACTCTAGCACCCCCATCTGTTGTTTCTCTTTGCCCTCCTAAGTTTATTCACTCCCCCCTAGGTGGCAGTAGTGTCCATTTTGGGAAACACTGGTTTAATACAACAAATTTTTGTGATATAATGTATTGGTATTGATAATTCAATCTTCCATCGTTAAAATATTTTTAAACTGTAAAAATTAGATGTAATCTATATGAGACTAGAGGTATAGAGGAATAAAGTTTTGTTAATACTAAACTTTATTCTACCTCTAATAAAGTGTGAAATTGTTCTACTAATGTAATACTGGTATTCAAATGTTGGAAAAAGTTGACTAGGATCCTGGTATTGCAATCCCTATTTCTGCCAATCTACAGCCATCCAAAGAATACAAATAAAAATATAGAACATAATTTGCAAATGCTTGAACTTAATGAAATGATTGTTTGAAACTACGAAAGAATAAAATTGAACCAAAGTGCCAAATTATATGCCTAAGTTAATGATTAGAAACTAATTTGTCTAGAGGCTGGTGGTTATGCTGCCATCTCATGCTAAGTTTAATTATTATAATAAATTAATTTTTAATTTAGAATTTTCCAGAAAAAAAGAATTTGCCTGAGGTGGAACTCAACTCTGCAGATGCATTGCCAGTTACACTACCTGGATCTCTGTTTGATCTTCACTTCCAGAATTATTAATTTAGATATAAAAATACTGGTTACTCATGCTGCTGACAAGGGATGACTTCAGAGCCCACAGCATGATTGTGTGAGGGTCGTAAAAGTGCGTCTAAATTTCGACTAATTATGAAACAATTTGATCTTCGAAACTCTCCATTTCGAAGATTGAATCGGGTCAAGAGAACTGTGTCGGGTCTAAACAATTGAGAAAAGGGGGGGTAAATGACCACAAGAACATCTGGTAGACTGTTTAGGTTCAAAGATGTCAAGAGAAAAGGGTCATAATGGAGTAAAATATGAGCATGGACTTTAAAAGTTCCATCATCACCTCTTCAACCTTTTCCTGACCCAGATCGGTCTCAGGTTTCACCTAGAGACAAAGGAATGACCAATCGGGGTAAAGGAGAGGGTGAACAGGACCAATCAAAAGGGTGATATTTGGGGAAAATCCTATAAAACCCCCAAATCTCAAGGACAAACATCAATTCTTCTCTGGACAAGTGTTTCTCTGTAGATCCAGGACCTTCGCCAACCAAACCCTGGGATGCTGCGGACCACAAACTGCATCCGACCAGCGACAACCGGAGACCACTACCAAGCTGGTCTAGATAGCATTGTATATAGATACTATGTAAGTTAATTTCATGTAAAAAATAAACAGTTTGATGTAAGACACTTGTCATCTTTGTCTCCTGCTGCATCTACCCACATACAATTCGCCCCTAGGTTTTCCTGACGCGCAATTAACTTATTGCCCCTAAAAGTCGCCGACCTTAGACAATTGTCTATGTGTGTATCATCATCATTTATAAATTTTGAATTGCAATATGAATAAAAATAAAAGTTCAAGATTTCCTGAAAATATTTTGTAATTACACTTAACAAATAACTGATAATAACTAAGAGGGCCTATTTATTTATTTTTACATTATATACTCAGAATTAGACAATTATTAATAATAGAGAGGAATAGAGAATATATTTCATCATAATACCAATCAGTATAATGCAAAAGAAATAGTCGTGTTTGTAATAATGTTAAATCAATGAAATTTACAAGTTTTGGATTAATTAGTTATTGCAATTCTTTTAAACACATTTTGGATAACTGTTGACCCAATCATATGTCTTTGCTTTGTTCTTACTATGTCCCAAATATACCCTTTGTACATTGTCAATCAGTTATACATAGTGTGGAATAAAGACTGTAAAAGTAAATGTTGTTTTTCTTTGTCCTAATTGACACATTCTACAGAGGTCACATACACTGCTTAATAATACCTTCAATCAAAACTGTGTTAGGTTTGACTGAAACTCTTGCTTGCAACATAAGGATATATGTCCAAGGGCTTTGCATAGTCACAACTGTGTTTTAATTTGTTCACAAATTTATGATTTTTCTCAGAAAGACAAAAGTATTAATTTTGACAATCTCTTCATACATAACAAAATACAAATTAAGAAAATGTTCATATATGAGAATTTTCTTAATTTTTATGAATCAATATATTTGTCTAATAATAAAATGTAATTAGAGATAGATAAAAAGAAAAGAAAACTAACCCCAAAAAGTTGTCTTAAATCTGGATCTCTGAAACGAAAAGGTATGTTACTGACGTGGAGGCGTTTCGGCTGATTTGATTTGGAAACCTCTGTGACGGCAGCTGTCGTCTGTGTGCTTGCTTGCCCTTGTGTTCCAGTACTGATATTAATTTCTGGTTCTAAATCTGTTTGCTGTTAAATTAAAATTATAATTAGTTCCTTAGATTAAATAAAACCATGAAATGATTTATTGTATATTTATATTCAGTAGTAATAATACAGAACACTTCATATTACATTGAAAATATTTTTATTACTTATAAATAATAAATTATTAAAATAAGAAGAAAGATTTTTCTCTTGATGAAAAAGATAATAAAGAGGTTATACATAAATCTTCTTAGACATGATTTAAATAACATCCTTTGGTAAGAATTGTTTAAAAATTAGAAATAATTTTAATCAAATCATTTATTCATGATCTAATAAAATAGATTCCACAGTGTATTATTTAATAATTGTGATAAGAGATTCAGAAACTTATCAACAACTGGATTGCATAAAGTTTATGAAAACAATACTAGTTAACATGCAAACTCTAATAAGATTTATAATATAAAAGATCATTATTCTTTAAACTGAAATAACAATTTTGAATCCATTCTTTTTTTACTTTCTATCAAAATAGAAAATCATTAAACAGTATAAAATTGTATACATTGGGATATGTGAATTATGGATTGTGACGTTCAAAGGGAAGAAAAATTTTGAGGGTCAAGAAGAAAATTTCAAAAATAATAAAATATGTTAAAGATAAAAATGAACAAAGCAAGCACTATACTATTCTCTTAAATAGTTAAGACTGATATGACAAATTTCTATTATTCAATCTTTTTACTGGCAACTTCCTTTTTCTTTTAGATAAAAAAAGTTTGCGGAACACTGGTATGTATGGCAAGCTTTGTAAAAAAATGGTTATCTTAAAATTATAAAAGTTTTGACTCACATTAATGTAATCCAATAAATATATAATTCACTTTAAAGTTCAGTACACAATGTATGAAAACAACTTAATTCATTTAAGAGAGCACCTTCAGGATCACTGTCATGCTCCCTTAAACAAAGTAACAGGATTGCTCAGGGGATTGTAGTATTTGATTGTCTTCACTTTGCTATGTCTTAGGATCTCTGTGTAACTTAGAATACACTTACAATGGGAGAATCCTGACCAAAATTTTTGAAAATGCAAGTTATAATAATAATAATAGGCCTATCTGTAGCACTTAAACAATAAGCAGAAATGTTATTTGGTGTGAATAAAAAATTATGGATTATTATAAAGCCCATTATATCTACCATGAAATATATTATAATGAAAAAGTATAAAAAATTTATGATAATTCAATTTTTGTGGGCCCAGGGCTTAAGCCCTATTAGTCTGTACATAGATCTGCCCTGTACACAATACATATATGCTAACTGGGAACCGTAAGCTTTCGATACAATCGTGTGGAGGTTTGCCGCAGCAAACCTCCACACGAGCAAGCAATTGTGTTTCCACAAGCATAACACTGACTTGTGACTTGTGAAAATGGGCTTCTGAAAATAAGTCTTTGGAAGTTTTACTTATGCACTCTGCTATCACAATTACAAGAATAAGACACTAGGCACAGGAACTAGACAATATTGGTTTGAGCTGTTGCAATTTTAGTATTTTTTTTATATGTAACAAAATTATTTTATTATTTTACCGTATCTTTAATTAATTAACATTATTATTGTTATTCCTCATGTTTAAAGCTTATAACACCAGATATTTCCTGTTTAGCAAAATGAAACAGTGTAATAATAAAATAATTTTGTTACATAGAAAAAAAAACTAAAATTGCACAGCTCAAACGTATATCATTTAGTTCCTGTGCCTAGTGTTTTATCCTTGTAATTGTGATAGCTGAGTGCATAAGTGAAACTTCTAAATACTTATAAACTAAGCACTCAATTTTCAGAAGCCTGTTTTTTGAAAACGATTGAGAAGTGGATCCTTATTATTTGGACAAGGAACTATTTGTGTTTAGGGCTACAAGTTTTGTTTGAATTGGAGAGCCAAATGTCTGGCCATCTCCTTGTTAGAAATGTTAAAATTTGTTGTCACATAATTTTACTGTATTTAAATATTGGTTCCCATTTAATTAATTTATTGTTCTATTGAATAACCTGTATATTTACTGGTTATATTACTTTAATTTCTTTCCAGAGATGTATCTCTGGAAAGAAATTAATGTGATCTAGCTGAAAAGATTATGAACATCCTTGCTCCTAAATTTCTGAAAGCTTTTTAATGAAACAGTATTGTGTAAAAGTAAGGTCACATGATCTCCGAAACCGGGTTGCCATTTGAGATGAGAACCTAGTTGTTATGATTTATCTCGGGACTGTCAAGAACTTGTGGGGGGCCCAGAGATAAAGCAAGCTTGTTTTGCCTCTTAGTGAGTTCCTTTAGCCATTTAATGCATTTCATTTCTTAACAAATTTTTTGTTTCTTTGCTTTTTGTTAATAGACTTGTTTTTACTAACACAAAAAAGATTATAGAATATAGGAACCAATACAGGCCTAAATTTTTTCCAGGCCTGAGAAAAATCCCCAGCTCTCCCTCTCAATGGCACTGTCTGCAATATTTGTTCATATATATTTTATGATATTTTTTCAATATGTAATTACTTCCCATGTATGTCCAATAAATCTGTTCATTATGATTATACAGTATAAGAAAAATTTTGATTGTCCATTTATTAGAAAACACTAAAGTAAGATTCTACCAAATCTCTATATAACACATATCATAGTTTAGAGCCATTTTGCCATGTGCTCCAAACACTGAGAGACCCTTATAAATCTTAATTAGAATAGTGCCCTCTTATGTAGACCATTACTCTAAAATTACTGTTGACACAACACTACATTTGTTTAAACAGATTGCTCTACTATCTGGTGCTATGTTAACAAGGGCCCTGCTAATGTAAAACATAGGGGAGAAAATTGGGAACATGAGAGTGTGCTCTTTAAAGCAAACTGTTCCCTTATCCAATGCTGATTAAGAGGACTCTACTGATAATACAGTAGATGCCACTTATCAAAATTAACATGTCCCAAAACATAAATAAAATAACATTACAAAACTTTCACTTGTAATTGATAATATGTAAGTTTGATTTTAATTAGATCAGTAATAGTAAACCTGACCCACATAATAATTTTAAAGTACCCACATTGAACGTTTAGAAAGTTTTAGATTTTTATAAATTATAAAAGAATACTTGCTAGATTTTGAGACTTTGCATATGTAGTGTGAAAGCAGGTCCTAAAGTTTTCATGAGAAATCTTAAATTTTTCTACCTGAGGTTCACAATTAGTGGCCTTTATCATCAAATAAACTGAAGATGATTCTCCATTAAACAAAATATTTGTTTCTGTTATAAAATATAAAGATAGGAATAGAGTTTGTTATTTTTAGTTACTCAAATTAAATATTTGACCTGTAATTGGGAGTTAATATATTTTGAATTCAATTTTGACCACCTGCAGAAAAAGATTTGCCATTGCTAATTTAGATTCTTATATCAATTATAAGCCATAAAAATATTAGAACATCAGTCAGAATAAATTTAATCATCCATTCGTATATTAAATGTTTATTTTAAACATCTGTAACTTTACCTATACAGCACTAGACAAAAGTATATGTTTCTAGACTATAAATAAAATGGTAACATGCAAAAATAATGAATCATTTTAATATTTTAAATAGTTTTATAGTCAAAAATTATTTGAAAACAAAGTCAAAATTTTACAGAATTTCAGTGTAAATTTCATTCACAATCATGGGAGAAACTATGCAAATGAAGTTATATCAAACATTTGCGTAGAGCATACGAAGAGACACATTACTTATTCTCTCAATAATTATTACATGTTGATACCAACTAAGAACCAGAAAGTAGACAAATTTGAAGACTTCATGGCAGTGGAGCAATCCAGAGGAAAATTGTTAGCTGTTCTTAATGTGTTGTAGCCACTGCTATAAAACATGGATTTATGTGGCCACTAAAAAGCATCCTGGTAGAAAAAGTTGTTTATCATCTCAAGTGAAAAGACCGATTTGTTCACTTGCAACTTGATAAGTTGTCAGCAAGTAAACTCAAAAGACTTTCTGTTCAACTCTATTTCTCAAGTTTTGCAATCCAATTGCAAACAAGCATCTTTATGTTTCTTTCTTAATGGTTGTAATTCAACCATTAACAAAGAAACATAAAGATGCTTGTTTGGATGTGGCAAAACTGATCATGAGCTGGACCCATCAGTGGTATAGTATACTATTTTTAGATGAAAAAAGTTTAACCGTGATGGGTCTGATGGTTGTCAAAAATATTGGCACGAATGAAGAGCCCAAGGTGATGTGCAAATGAGTCGACAAATGATGGCAGAATTTTCAGCTCCATTTTTGTTTTAAAATAATTGGTAACTATAAAAGTTATATTAAAATTACAGATATAATTGATTATTTTTGCATATTACCATTTCATTTAAACAATTTATTCATTTACAATGTAAAAAAAATGATATTTTTGTGTAGCAGCGTATTAAATGTAAGTTCAAGTTATCTTGCACTCAATATTGTATTGTAGTTTAAATTTCAATTTCAGACACTTGTTACTTTATATATAGGCTATTGTTGAAGACTGACCTTCATTACTATTTAATTAAGATACAGTATTATTCTGTACCTATTAGCATAACAAAATAAGCAAGTAAGAAATACAAAGATTTGTTCCTCAAAGATATCACAGAACTCTAAAATTTCAAGTTTAAGTTGCAAAAAATGAGTCAATGCAATGCTGCTGCATAGTTAAAAATTTCATAGCCAGTTTTGTGCAAGATTTTGGAAAAAAAAGAGTGAATGAGAACATGATCTGCAAGAGAAAGAGCTGGAAAAAATGAAGTTGAATTAGCTTTGAAGCTTTAGTTCATTAACAGATGCATTTTTTTTTTTTTTCACAAACATTACTAAGCCACAGAAAAATATGAGAAAGAAAATGTTTTGTTTTCTCTATGAGTTGAAATAAAATCTATTATACAGACACACTTATGGTGAGGAGAAAAGTTCTGATACTGAATCAGTTGAATTATGGATAGA